TGGAACAAACCTACCTAATATGTGATGAACTGGAATAATGCTATCAACAGAAGTATTAAAAAATTCTTTTTTCCAAAATTCTGGATCATTTGTAAAATCATCAGAATCTTTATTAGCAAAGAGAAATCTAATATTTGCAGTTACCGCAGGTTTATACCACTTCATAAATGCTAGATAATGTTTTGATGAACCATTTAAAAGATGAATCATATGTTTGAAATAAAATTGCACTTGGCCAGGATATGTATCTATATCATAACAACTCACAATGTATAATATCACTTTTCATGCTTTTAATTTCTAGTCACTAAACTGATATTGTTCTAGATAAAGTTTTTCAAGCTCAGAATTGAGTTAAATTGATTATTACTTTTAATCCAAGATTTGAAAAAATAATACAATTCTATATTAGCTAAGGTTAGCATTTGAGATTATAATCATATACAGGTTTAATGAAGAAAAGATATACCAGTATTTTGAAGAACATTTGGAGTTAAATTTTTTTTGAATTATATTTTGAGTAAATGAGTTTTCAAGACCAAAAAGTTGGATTCTCTCATGCTGCTTTATAGATTTTGAAAGGGTCCAAACTTCATTTGGAGAATTGGCTATATACTTTGTAATTTTGATAAATTTTGAGTATACAATTTTTTTTTTAACTGAAGAAATAAATATTGCTGGTTTGTCAAAATATTTATTATTGAATAAAGCTTTATATCCCGATCTACTATTATTCCAATCTTTACATGATAAAGAACTAAAATAATATAATTAGCTTCTAATGTCATATGATAAAAATATATCAAATTTATCTTAAAATCTCTAATAAAAGATAGATACCTTATGTTTAAAATTAATCGAAGAATTCTTTTAAATTTTATAAAATAAACGTAAGGAAAACCTACTGAAGTCTTTCTTTATCTTTACATAAGTTTACATCATTAGATACACCATCTGAATTATCATTCAGGACATCATTTTTAATTTCTTTTTCATCTTACATAATATATCAATAATGGCACATAATCTTTTATGATCTATATGACTTTGATAACCAGTTATAGGTCATTTAGTCATTCTGAAAATATTATAACCTTATGACCTTATGACCTGTAATCTTATATTAATATATTACATAAAAGTATATATTACTTATTTATCATGTTTAGGAATTCTGTTACTTTATTTTATTATTTCTTTATTAACATATACACTCTATTGAAATATATAATAAATAGTTTTATTAAGCATCGATAAATATATCACCTGTATCTAAGTAGATTGGTAATTTTAAATTAAAAATAAAAGTGATTCTAATATCCATTTGGCTGTATCATCATCAGCAGGATAAATGGTTTATCCACCTAATTCAAAATCTGTATTTCATTCTGAAGAAAGAAAAGTTGCATTATCAGCATTATCAAATTAATTTTGATGCTTCATATTATTAATCCATTCAGTTATAATTGAATCCAAACATTTATCATCTTCTTTTAGCAGTTCATTTTCATTATCACTAGGATTTTCCGCTCCTTCTTCATCAGCTAGTATCTGATTATCATCGTTACTATTGTTTGATTCTTCTTCTGGAGTAATTAGTGTTACTATATGAAGCTGATGAATTATTTTTTCTCCATTTTGTACATATTTAATATTTCGATTATAAATAATATCACCTCTAATTTGTGCTATTTTGAGAACTTTTTTAGGCTAAAATAAATAAAAAAATTGATATTAAAAAGATATTAACATTAATTTAAATTTTAAAAGTAAAGAAAATACAAAGCCTTTAGCTGATTTCTTTGATTTGTGTATAAATATCCCATATTTGACCATAATCTTTCAACTGATGCTAAATTTACACATATTTCATATATCTAAATTGCAACTTTTACCAATTCAGGTCCTATACCACTGGTAATTTCTCAAAAGGTAACCAATTAGCCTTTAAATTAAGCAAATAAATCATCATCATAGAGATCTAAACTTTTCATGTATTGCATAAATTCTGTTAAAATGGTTCGAGACTTATGACCAAACCACGTCTCATAATAATATTTTAACTATTTGCCGAGATGTAAATGTACTATAGACAAATTAGGTGTAAATATACAAAATCTTGAAACTTTATATGAAGGATGAAGCACCATTGAAAGAATTAAAGTGGTTGCTCCTATTGCTTCCAACGGTTTTCCATTCTTTCAACCATTTTTTCTGAAAAATTTGGATTTGTATTCTCATTAAAAATTTTTGTTACATATGCAAAGCAATGAATTACTACATATAAGCTTGCTGTATCTTTTTGAAGTTTATTTAAAAATCCATATAAAGGATACAATAAATTTTGAAGTTTTATAAGAGTTAACCAAAAATCATTATCATTAATTATATTTGCAATATCATCAGGTAATTATTGTTCACTATTATTTTTTTCAAAGTATTATTTGATGTTACATTTGGAATACCATTTATACGAATCACATTTGATCAATATTTATTGAATTTTGCAGAAATAAACTTAACAAAGTAATTAGTTAATGAATAATAATAATTTTAATAAAAAATTAAAAAAATTACCTTTAGTGTGACCTTAGTTTTTAAAATAGAATGAAAACAAAAATAATAGTTATTTCATCTAGTATCTCCAGGCAGTGATGGCAAGTGACCCAAATGACCTCAAATGACTCAAATGACTGGTCATGTGTCATTTGGATCATTCCAACATTAAATGACAAAAATGACAAATGACCTGGTCATTTAAAAATTATATCATGTGATCTCAATAATTCTGGCCAAAATAATTAATGTAATTTAATGATTCGAAAGTTTTCATAAATATTTCATGTGATATAAATTTTAATTCTGGTCAGCATATAGAATTTGGCCTGTATTACATTTAAATGACCAAATGACAAATGACCTCAAATGACTAGGTCATTCGCTGGTCATTCAGAGGTCATTTCAAAATTATCAAATGATCTGGTCATTTGTCATCACTGTCTCCAAGTGATAGCAAAGATACAGTTTTATTGTAAATTCGAGTTTGTTCATCTCTTAAATTTCTGGTAAAATATGAAGATTTATAAAAGTAACTGACTATTCGCACAGCTTCAGCAGAAGTATGTTTAAAATAGGCACTTTCTTTAAAAATATCACCAAATACAAGGTTCATTTGATGTGTCATACATGGAAGAAACACTTTGTTTGGATATTCTCTTCTTAATTGTTTTCTAAATAATGATTTTTATTAAAACTAAATAATTTTCAAAGAAAAACCAGATAATTTTAAAAAATTACTGTGCTGCAGTATATTTTCCTGCAGAATCGGATATAAAAGCTTTTATATTTATTCCTTCATTATTTGTTTTAAGCATCAAAATTTTAATATGTTGAATTACATTTTCAGTTCGAGAAGATTCTCCACTAATATTATGAGTACCCCAAATAAGAGATTGACCTTGTGATGTTTAAAAACAACTCCCCAAATATGTTCTGCCTTAACGTTAGTCCATCCATCAAATGTCGCAGTGACACCATCAATATCATTTTTTGCAATATCTGTAATATTTTTTTTTTAAAGTATTTAGCACATTTTTTTAAAACTCTACCACTAATTGCTTTACGGTTTGGCAAACTGAAACCCAGCAAAATAAATTAAAGACAGCTTGTGTATCTTCATTTTCCAAAAAAAGTAAATGGTAAGCCATTAGATACAATCATACGAAAAAGTAGGAATTCAAATGTTGGTCTGTCATTAATTGACATTGGTCGAGCACAATAAGATGTGATGGATTGTTGTCGAGATGAAGAAGCAGATGATAGTATTGTTTAAGTTGAGCTTTTTCGTCTTTTTGGTTGATTTTGTAAATTAAAATCTTCCTCTCTTTCCTCCTCCTCTTCTTCTTCATCAGATGTATCTAAAAAAAATCACATTAATGATAAATTAGTAATAGTAGTTGATAAATATATTTTCTATTAAAATTTACCTTCATTACAATTTTTACTTTTCTTTTTAAAGTCTTCCGGAACAGAAAGGGATAAAATTTCAGTAATTTCCTCTTTATTATATGAAATTTTAAGTTTTCGCAATTTACAAAGTGATTTCGACAAAGCCTTGCTTTGTTAGAAGTAAATCACCCAGATGTTACCTGCGCAATGGCTAAACCTCCAACTTTTTGGCTACAACAAACACATACAGCTTTTGCATTCGATTTGTAATTATCATTTTTTACTAAAGTAAAAAATTCCCGAAAATTATGACTTTTCTTTCGTTTAGTCATAGTTTTATAAACTAAATTAAAGGATTTTTTGAAATTTATTATTAAAATGAATCGTTTATTTATTAAAATTGAAAAAATTGTTTGAATTATTTCGTTTGTTAAACTTATTTAATAAAAAGATTATCGTTATACAAGATCAAGGTCATAACTTTATGATCTGCGGTCATAAAATTTATGACCTAATGACCTATGACCATTATTCATATGACCCCATGACCAAAGGTCATCCAGAAATAGCAATATGACCTGGTCATTTCCCAACACTGTGATATATAGAGTACTTTGAAGGGGACTTGTATATGGAATGACGAGCGGAATTAATCAGTGAAGAAATAATTCGCAATTATCATTTAACACATTGATACGCGCTTTCCGTTCGGTTGATTTAGTCTGGTTACAACTTTTAAAGTTTGACTATCACGTGTTGCACAATTTGTTATAAACAAATCTTTGCAACTTTGCTTTACCAATATCTATTTCAGGTGGTTTGAATAGGGATGGGTCTGTCTTGGTAAGACCGGTCTTAGATCCATATTCTGAGGACCAGTCTGGACCGGTCGTTAAATTGTTTTATTTATATAATATTACAATGTTAGAGTTGGTCCTGTCCTAATATTTTACTGTAACAATAATATCCGAAATGAAAAATTCCGGAAATGGAGAAATAACGAGATTAAAAAGGCGCCATTATGCAATTACCGTATTATACTTTTATCTTTATACAATTATTTTATTAAACTAAATGTTATGTTCTAAATCGATCCTTGGACCAGTCTCATAAATCGGTCTGGTTCGAGAAGGAAACAAATCATGGATCGGACCGGACTGGTAGGATCGAATGGTACAAGACCGGTCTTAGGACCGGTCCGATCCAACCCTATGTTTGAAAGAACCTTGCACGTGCATTATGAATCCTGAAAGTTTTATTGTTAAATAATATATAAACAAATTAAAGCAGTACAGTAATAATATCTCTTTTCGGAAAAATTATCGTACTCCTAGTCGGGGTACCACCGCTGTCCGAAACTTTTGAAATTGAACATAAAGGGAGCAAAATCCGAAAAAAAAAAATCATTAAGTCGCTGCGCCACGAAGTTATCTGTATAATTTGGTTGCGTTATTAACTTCACATTGTGACATGAAAAAACTCGAGTGGATAATCATAATAATTTTTAGTAATTAATAACAAAGAAAATAGCTATTGCGAAAGAAGTTAAGGCCTAACTATTATAATTCAGAATATTATCGAACCATGGAATTTTTTTAAAATATACAATTTCTGCGACCCGCAACGATCCAACACAAAGAAATCGTACAAAAAAAATAATAAATTAAAAAGAGCCCCAGTAAACAAAATAATAATAATATTATTAAAAGCTTCATAGCAGATATGGATGTGACTAGAGGTTGGAACCGGTTCTATTTCCGAAACCGGCTTTAAAAAAATTTGACCCGGTTTAAATCGATAACCGGTTTAAAGAACCGGGTTGAATCAAATCAATTACGATTTTTTAGATAAAAAATTAATTTTGATAAGCATATCGATGATCAAAGATTACCTCTTCGTCATCCAAAAATTCCAAATAATTTTCTTTATATTATGCTTATCACGCAAATGTATTATTTCCACCTTATCGGTCATATGCAAGCTTTATTTGTTCCTGCGAAATTCGTTTCACAAATTTTGCAAAAAGCAATGTTAGGGTTTTCTTTTTCGATCCGAAAGAAAAATGTTGTATGACTGCGGTTAGTTCTAATTAGGACGAACGAAATTCTACTCTTCGTTTTTTGTACTACTTTTGTGCTTGTGATATCGGTAGTTATAAGTTCTGTAATAGATGGGTTCGCCATAATGAGAAATAAACATGCTAAAAGAAAAAGAGTACCAAAGAAAGAATGATTGTATGGGAAAAGCTCGTGCGAGACTAAATATGGATTTTTTTTATTAACCTTAAATTATTTTTGGTAAATCGAAAACCGGATCTTTCGACCGGTTGCATTCGTTTATATCGCAACCGGTTTTGTATCTCTCTAAAATTTGGAACCAGATTTATTCAAAACCGAATTTAAAACCGAATTGTTACAACCTCTAATCCCGCCTGATTTTAGACTATACATTGTTGCTCTGACTCTGACGCTAATGTGAATTTATAAAAAAAAACAAAGAATTTAAGCTCCATGTTTTATTTCATTTAAAAAGAAAAAAACTTTCCAATCAAAATTATCTTGTATATTAAATTTTAATTAAAATAACTTATTTGCAAGTGTGTGTATAATCATTAATAATGGTGATAAATGGATTGGACAACATAAATATTTTAAATTATACTTGGAAATTTTTTTATTTTAATCGGATAAAAACAATTAATTTTTTTTTAATGTGTTCAGTTTTCTTTAAATTAATTATATTTTTTTCGTCTTTAATGAATTTTTTTTGTTCACTGTATTATGCAGATATATTTTGGGGTCATTTCGACATTAACCGAAGCTAAACAAAATTTACTATTTTGGGTTTAATTTAATTTTTAATTTTTTTTTAATAAAATATCATTTTTATTTTTTTATTTTTTTTTAAAAAAAAAAGTCGATGAATTTATTGATACTAAAAATTGCATTCACGTTTGACCTATTATTAACATTGAAATTGTTCTTTTCCACAATTGGGATTATGGGTTATATTCCAACCAGTCTTCGTAGTATTAGTTGAACATATATCAGAGGTGTCTCGAAGGAAGTTAAGTTCCTTTATTTGGCCATCTGAGGCAGTTATTACGCAGTTATCATCTCCGATTGTTGGACAATCACAAGATTGTCCGCAAAATGAAGGTTTTGGGTCACATATTTCAACATTAAAAGTTTTTAATGTAGAGCTTATTATTGTTGCCGCCATAGTGTTGTATGTACTTTGTTTAATTGTGTTATATACGTCATCATCATCGGCAAGTAATTTATCATCATTCATCCCTTGATTAACAGTAAAACTAGCTAATACTGACTTGTTTCCAGTAAAAAAATTATTGTGTAATGTATCATCAAAATGAAATAGGAGATTTTCACTTGCGGATGATAGATATGATGAAATATCTGAATAGCTTTGCCCGCTTCCGGTAAATGATTGATGAACATTGTCCATTACAGTTGGAAGGAAGAATGCATTCACAATGTTTGACGTAAAAAATCCTAAATTATTTTCCGTCGTCGTATCCCTCTTTTTTGCTTCGGGCCTCTTGCCAATTTCCCCAAACAATCTTGTACGGATTTGATCAATATTCTCTCTTGTTGTTCTATAGTCTCTTGCGATTCCATCCCAATTAATTTCAAAGGGCTCTCCCCTTGCGTGATATCTATCGGCCGCGGCTTGGCTAAATCGAATTCTAAGAGTTAACGCTGTTTCTCTGGGTATTTCTGCCAATTCTACAGCATCTTCTACAGCACCAAGTTCGGCAGTAGTTTCGGAGATGGCTGCCATCACTCTACCTATCAATGCTACGCCGGCGGCATATATATTCCCAGCAAAAGGAAGAGCACATAATACAATGGTAATGACTAAAGGAATTATAATCTCTTTGAGAATGTTTCTTTTAGGTTGTGGCGGCGGCGGTGGGATCAATTCTTTGAGATTATCGGGAGTCATTTTGATACTAAGTTCTTTAATGGCTTCGTTGAACCCTCGATGGTGTCTCTCCCAATAATTGAATAGGTTGTTTGCCGAAGTAATCATATGATATGTAGCAACCGGATAATTATCAGGACTGAATGAGCTGCCTGAACCGAACTGAAGAGATGCAGCGTATGTTCCAACTTCATTACCAGTTAAATAATCAATGCATTCGGCTACATGTTCTGTTGGATTAATAGGCAATTCGGGTGCATCCGGGTGTTTACCTTCACTGCAATGCATTGCAGTTAGATCAGTTGGATATACATGATCTGGGTTTGGTACGTTTTTATTATATGTAATTTTAGGAGTCGGAATGAGTTTCATCGTGTAATTACTTAAAAAACATTTGTAGTTATTTTGATTTTTATTGGTATACGACGAAACCGAAAGGTCATCCCTGTTTATTTTCACCATGAAGCTGAAGCCACAATCAAAGGTACATCCCCACATAGTGATGTTTAAAGTTGTTAAGGGTGGCTCATGCTTTACAGTTTGAATATCCCTGATCAAAGCAGACGCCGTATAACTAATGCCATTATCATCAATATGGAACGCCGCCTTATCAGAAGATATGATCTGGTCGCACATATTAAAATCATGTTCTACGGTGATCCAATCAGCAATAACTGCCGATGTAACATGTATAACAATGTATAATAAACTTTTCTTCATAGTGAAATATTTTTTTGTTTTCCCTTGTCGAAAATCGAAGACCTTATATATTGTTATAACCCTCGGAAAAAAATCATGTAGACCAACCATTTCGGTATCCAATCACTTCATTCAAAATTAATAAAATGACAAGATAAACTTGTCATAACCGCAGTCGATCTCGGAACGGTTGATCTTGTCAGATCCAATTTCGGCATTTATTTATAATATACTTTATATAATACAATTTATTTTTTAAACGTAAATTATTTTTTTCTCGCTCTAGATGTTCAAATCCATTGTTAAAAAAAAAAATAAAATAAAATAAAATCAGATGCAAAGTTAACCATTTATTTCCTATGAAATATACTAATGATCTACGGCACATTTTTTATTGTTATACCAATATGAGTTTGTACTCACTGGGGTGTAAAACAAACTTTTGACCTAGCCAGTTTCTAGTTATACTATTATCAAGTGGATGGTAAAAACTTTTTTTTTTTTTAAAAAAAAAAAAAAGAAAAAATTAAAAAAATCATTCTGTAGAAAACCCAAATTTGGTTAATGGGGATATTGATGTTTACATTCCGTCATCGTATTGGTTTTCAGCATCCTTTTGATATCAGCATTGAATTATAACAAATGAAGCAGTTGCAAAAGCGCTATCCTCAATCATTATGGCTTTCCCGTTGCGCGTACTTAGATCATCACTCTGTGATAAATGTTGCTTGGAAAAATATTATGTAAATCCTCCCTTACAGACGTTCTCTACAAGTATTCGTGGTAAATTCGCAGAACCTAACAACCTTTACTGATGATCGTACGAGATCGACTGACGGCGCATTTTATATACTAATTCTACAAATTAGTTTGAAATTTAAATATCATTCCAGTCGAAATTCATTTCGGAAATCGAAATTGATTTCAAATATCGAAAATTTTCATTTTGTGCCACCTATTCCAATTACACTTATCCTCATTTCACATCCCATTGCTCTCTTCCAGTCGTTTAAAATCCATGAATATTCTGGGATGGTAACCCATTCCATAAAATCTAGGGATGTTAATTTAGAAATTTTTAGTTAGAGAAAAGTTTAATCGCTGATATAATAAGGAAAATGATTGAAATAGATAATGTTCATGAAATCGATAAGTTGGGATCGGGTCCTTAGGACTCGGTCCTAAATTCCCAAATAAGTTTATTATTTATTTTTAATAAATATCCATTTATACATTTATCATTAGAAAGTAAAGTAAAATAAAAATCTTTCTATAACTGATAAATTATTGGGAATTTTAGGATCGCTTAATATCCTTAAGGAAATTTCATCACATATTTAAAAGGCCAATTCTTCCTACCCAGACAGTAATGTTGTTTATAAAAAGCAGTTGATAAAGATTGGACTCATAATTTTAGGAAATGATCGACCGATTAAGGAAACCAACAAAAATGTGTCCGACCAATTGCTTAATCTCGTTTTTATCTCCATTCATTTCCTTGTGTCGTTTTCTCGTGGTAGTTATTTTCAAACTTGGCATAAATGGGAATATTTCTAGGAACATCAGGCTCTGGGAATTTGTAAAAAAATTTTGATTTTTATTTAGTTTTTGATGTTATTAGATTAAAATGTAATAAGGTCATAATTTCAGTCAAAAAAATTCTCAGCCTGACAAACTTCCATTGAAATTGAAAATCCATGTGCTGCCTATTGTTTCAAAACATATTCTTTCTAATGAAGTTCGTGTAAACTTTTTGTGTTTGACAAGTTTTGAAAAAACAGGAAAACCTCATTAAGCGCATGATTGTCACGTCTTACAAGCGTTTTTCTATAAAAAAAAATGTCCATTCGACTCCAAATTCGGCCTTGTCATGCATGCACTTCATCGAAAAATATATAATCATTTAATAAATTCATTAAATATTCGAAACACCAGGTCGTACTTTATATAAATATTTACTTGCCATTAGGAAAGTATTGCCTCTGTTTTTCCGTGTATAACATTTTTTATGCTCATGGGAACAAATCAAAAGTTTTGAGAAAGCTTCGGAAAAAGAAAAATCTGCCATCCAGATTTGGTTATTGATTGATGTACGAGATTTATTTTTATTTTTTTCGCTTTTTAAAACACAACACAAAAAATAAATTAATAATATTACAACGTTTGAAAATAGTAATTTGTATTCGAAGGCATGGGGTAGTATTACTATATTTTTTCCGAGGGTTTCATTTTTAGCAAAATGGCTTAACAAAAAAATTTTCAATTCTTTTATAAATCAACATTTTTCTTTTTCCCTTAAATTTCTTATGTCATAACTCACTATGCCCAAAGTATTTGGAACCATTACCCGACGCGAACAAAAAAGCTTAATTGATTTTGACACGATTTCCCCTGATAGACAAGATTATGCGCTCATCTTAATTTGTTCAAGAATCATTGTACGAATTCAATTGAAATGTTTTCAAGACTTGCTTTTCTCCATAAATGACATCAAATTCATAGTTCGTAAAGAAATCGAATTATTTCCCGAGAAACTTTTAAGGTTTTCAATTCTGATGAAAGAGTATAATTATTGTCATAATTTAGATGACAATACCTTGTCAGATTGTAAATGTTTAATCGATCCAATCGTGGACTCTGATCATCCCTTGGATTCAATCCGAAAAATTTTAAAAAAAGAGATCACCTCCAAACGGGACTTTAATCCAAATTTCGTTAATCAGTTATACAGGAATTTAATCAATTTATCCGATGATTTACAAAAGTACTTTTTAAATCGTGACAATTACGATAAAAAAAAACACAACATTAGACCAATCTATTTTGTTGATAACTACTTTGTGTATCAGGAAGGTATACCTGGTAGTCAAGAAGAAACTTTCATTTTATTTCCAAAGGCACTCGTTTGGTTGCCAACTTTGACGATATCAGATGAGATAAACCAAAGAAATGCCTCAGCTTTTCAACTTCGAAAAAAGCCCGAATTCTCTGATAACAAGGGTGTACCGACATTCCGTTCTCAGTTATTAAGGATGGGTCTAGTTCAAAAAAGTGTTAATCAAAACAAATATGATGAGAACTTGATGAAATGCACAAAGGGAAAGAGACGAAGATCTTATCATAAGCAAATCAAGGTAATAAGAAACAAAGACGAAGTTCGAAGTCAGGATCATTCCCCAAAAACGCTTGAGTCTCCCGGGCCGATGACATCCATTAGCGCAATTCTCAATCACGTTGATGAGAATGTTCAAAGTTCACAACCTCACATTGATAATAACTTCAATAATAATTTTTCGATGATCCAATGTAATCCAATTAATCCGACTTGTTCCAAACCATTTGATTTCCGAAACTTGTGTCCATGCATCCTTGACCATCAACACCATCAACGGCTTTTTTAATGGACTACACAAATATTATTTTTTTCATCGTAATTTTTTTTTTTATTCGTGCATTTATTTTCGAGTTTGATTCGTTTCGTTTACTTTGATTATCAAAGTTATTTCCTTAATGTCGTAACATTATTTAATATTTTCACGTATTTACATAAACAAAATCAATTTATTACTTTATTTCTATATTCTTTTATGATTTTATGATTAATTAATTAATTTTATAAGGTTTTATATATGAAAAGTAAAAAAATTTTAATGAGATTTTGTTTACGGATAGAAATTAATTTTTAATTAAGGTTTTATCTATGAATGGAATATTAATTTTTAATAAGGTTTTATATCTATGTAAATTGGCAAATAAAAATAAAAAATAATAATAATTTAAGAAATACATATGATCATTTTTTCCAATTTGACAAAATTAAAATCAAATCATGAAATATTTTTGTATATTTATGTGAGATCAAAAAATATATAAATCCTAGCATAAATTTTCCTTAGAAAATTTGACGCTTTAATTAGTATACTTTTCTCAGTTCGTAAAAATTCTCTTTGAAGATCATTCCATCAAGAATGCTATCGATAATCAGCAGAGGAACTTTTTCCATTGCTAAGAACGAACAGGATTTTCCAAACGTCCTTTGCATGACCTTGAAACATCGGCGAGCACAAACAACTGATTTTGATCGTTTGTTTTGATCGTCAATCCGTATCTGAAAAGTACAAAAAAAAAAATTATTAAAAAAAAAAAAAAAAAACGAGTGTGTGAATGAAATCATAAAAGCGACAAATTCTGAAAATCTACGCTATGGTATAGAAATTCAACATTTTCCTTCCTTTATATTCATGCAATCTTGTATCTGCGATCTCTTTATTGCAACTGTAACCATGAAACAAGTTATTCAATTCTTCTCTTTGAAAATTTCTTAAAAGAATCCAGAAGTGCAATAGAGAATTTTCGTATGGTTGTATATGAAAATTATCTACGCACAATAAACGAACAAATACTAAAAGTTAAAATTGTGAAATAATATATCATATAACATACCAGTATGTCGCCAAAACATCAAATTTACTTGGATCATGCAAATCATTTCCCGCCGATTAAATTTTTACACAAACATCCAATTAGAGTAAAATGCTACCAAACGTTAATCCGCTTTTAGCAAATGACTAGCCAATTTTGTTTTTCCACTATAAATACTGATAAAGTTTTTTTTTTTTTACATTGGGTTTTTTATCTCCAAGTGCAGTACCACCTTAAAATATTCAAAAAATAAAAAAAAATAATAATTAAAAATTAAAGAGGGTGGATTATTATGCATGTCATTTGTGTTCATCATTTTGGTTTCTAAGTGTTCATCTAGTGGTCGCAATATAAGGAATACGACAGAACACCTATACCATTTCCATTCCACAGCGGTTGTGGCTTCCGCTTTGATATCTATCACAAATTCCCCCTGTCATAACTTATTATTATTTAAGAATGATACTAGACTTTACGAACAACTGGATTTCCAATTATTCTTATTTGACTGGTGGTATAATATCATCTCATCATCATCATGTTGACAAAACGTTCCGTTTTTGTGTTCATATTGAAACTTTAACTTGGGTTAAATGGTTGGTCGTAATTTAACGGTAAACCACCGTTCGAGAATTAAAGAAACGAATTCAAGAAATTGGTTTCATACGGTTAACTAAGCTTCAAGAATTAAGGCTCTATAATATTGGTCAGGAGAACGTAATCATTTGGAAGTCCGAGGTTCTTTGAATTCTACAAAAATTCTTAAATTCTGATTTCTTAAATTCAGTACATCAATTGGATGAAAAACCAAACAAATAACTTCCTGGAAGATGTGAATGAAAAAAATTCTTAACCCTTCATCAACCGAAAAATATTCGATATGCTTGGCCATATTCTTATCATGGAACGTCAACGCGTACACCAAGAACGATGACGAATTCATTTACAGTAACGTATTAAATTTAACTTTGGTCATGACCGTAATATTATTAATTCAAAGACTTTGGTTAGGTCATCTTTAGAATTTAGAAAATGTTGTGGTGATGATGGGTATTTCCAAGTGATGATGATTTATCAAGAAGATTGGTTATTGTAAATGCACTTTTTTTAATAAATTTAGGGTTTACATTTATGCACACGTTGTGTGACGTGTGTAATCAAAAAATGTAATTATTGATCGCATCAATTAAGTAAAGTGGTAATTTGTCTTCACGAAAATTTTAACTTAGCTACATGTATAAGGTTCGATATATCATTTGAACTATCAAAATCAAATTTTATATTAGTTTATAAAAATGAAAAAAAAAATCTGAAATGGCGTTATGATAGCCACGATGTTGCTAGAACTAACTTGGTTTATAATTGGATAACTCAGATTGAAAATACTATCACATTTCCTTTGACCAAACGATAAGAAATGTCTGAAGCGAGCCACTCATATCAAATATGGTTTAAATATGAAACTGGACAGCAACTAGGCTCACGTTTGGCGGAGGAATTGTTAAAGACTTGAAAGAGATAAAAAGGAAAAGTCAAGTGAATTGCAACGTTGACGTCAATAAAATTTTACTAAGAAGACATAGTGAAGGAGTGGATTTAAAACCATCTCAACGTGTACGATAGTTCCACCTCTTCAAGTGTAGTCTTCCGTGGTAAGTACCGATTTTACGACATAAGCATAAAGAATATATTTTATCCGATAGGTATTCATTTTACACTCTACTCTTTATTTCGACTCCAAGACATGGTGAGTGAAGTATGCTGAGAAACTCCACGAATAACGAATATCGTGATAGATATCGAAATTAGAAGCAATTTGTATAAGCATCGGCGAATGGTAAGAGGAATAATATTTTTTTTTTTTTATGATTGATACTCGTTTTTCTAATTCAGTTCTATATTTCGAAGAGAAATGTGTAATACTTCATTTAAAAATGGTCTATGTAGTTCTACAACTGCTTTCTTTTTCACCAATATATTGCGAGGTCCCAGCGTCTAGGGAAACACTACCACACTTGTTGTTAATTTGCCAAAATAATTGGATGGATCTTCTTGCCTGTAAAAGGTAAATATACTTTACTGATGGTGCGATGTGGTGCAAAACTTATTGAACTAATAGATAAGGTATTTTTACAAGAACCCTTGTCAGATTATTGGCTCTGAACAAATATAAGTCGATTGCAATTTTCGAAAATTTCTTACAGTAATTGCAAGCAGGTGGATCACGTCCCAACATATTTTTGATTGATCAATGCGACGCATTAGTGTTACTTCAACAGTGTCAACTCAAACCAAATGCCGTATCGACTCAGACAAAACAGAAGAAACACGATCTGTAGCAGTGTGGTGCTGCCCTCTTTGTTTTCTCTTCAACTTTTCATGCTAGTAGTACGGCAGATGACTGTAATATTATGCTTGAACATAAATTTTGGAATCTAAGGTAGACTTCACGTCGTCGATATTGCATGGATTAAATATTTCATGGCAAAGACTATTGGATCCTCAGCGAATTGGAAAAGCAAATAAGGATAACAGCATTTTTACTGCTAAACTTTTCAAAAATGTGATTTGTCCAAGTAAGTTGGAAATTTTCAGGCATGGTCGTGTTTGATGGTATGAAATATCGTCTTGTCTGGAGCAAGCCATTTACGAAGCATTTGATGATCGCAGTGATATCATGGAGAGCCCTGGAATTATGTATCCAGAATCGATTCCGAAAGGCGACATTATCAAGAGACCTAATCTTTATTTCTTACCATAATTTAGCGAATGGAAGATGAGAGTAGTAGTGAACAAAATTGTACGGGCGGACGAACAGCAAATCTCACTGGAAAAGTAAACTATGTATTTTTATGTGAGGTGTTCACGCTGTTATTGAGCAGGTGTCGGAAGTATACCGGGAACACCATACGAAGTATGAGGATCTTTTCAAACGCTAAGATCTCAGTATTTACGACTTCTACCTAGCTGCTACAGGTGCCAGTTCAAGAAAAGCAACAAGTCTTAAGACAATCGAATATTATATGGGAGGTTTGCTATTAAAATCACGTTATGGATTATATGATTTACTATGTTCGTAAACTCGGTTTTAATAGCAAACCTCCATATGAGCGCTTTGGAGGAAACTACCATAAAAATTTTTTTTTTACTTTATAAGCTAGATATTATTTTTTTAGTAAATAAATCCAGATTTAATATTAACTCAAAAAAAAATTTTTTTGGTACTTTCTACTGCAAAGCGTCCATATATGTGTCATTACGTCTACTCACTTGTAGCTGGTAATTATATGCTATGCGCAAGTTTCTCCGTCATACGCGTAAGGATCTCCGAAATATGTTATGATGTAATAATGAAATATTGTTGGGATAAGTTCTAATAATAGATTTATTGTCGTTTCTAAAACCAATTGAATAATGCATCTCTTGAATAAAAAAAAGAAGAGCTGTTTACAATAAACCTTTTATTGTTAAAATATTGCCTTTATAGAAAAAAACCACCATTTCAAATTTCAATGATTTGGTCACGCAAAATTATGAAAGTCTTTTATCGCCTATAATAAAAAAAATTACTAGATAATGCGTCATCTATTAATTTAAAGTGCTTTTTTTATTAAAAAAAAAAGTTTATTTTTATTTTTAGCGATATTCTGCGGATTGGGATAAGTTTTCTTTTTTGATAAATAAAAATTTAGGTGATATTTTCAGTTGCACTCCGCATTAAAATTTTTTCGTCGTTTCTTTAAATTTAATTCTCCGTTACTAGTTGATAATAAAAAGTAAATCAAATCTGTTATGATATTAACTTCGCCTCTGTTTTTTGCTGTGTAAACTATTTGGGTTCCTTTTAATAAAAATTTAATTTTTATCATATAGATAATTTATTTTATTTTATTTTGTTTTTGTTCTTTTCCGATAATGGCACATTTTCGAGCTCATCAGTAAAAAAGGAGGAAATCTAAAATTTTCATAAATTTTAGTTCCTAAGATAATTTTAAGCACATGACTGTGATCAGTCAAGTGGACCAATAAAAAAAATTTTATCAAAATTTAATTTTCCTTCTTTTCTATTGACTAGCCCCCATATTAATTTTTTTTTTTTTTAAGTCTTTACGATCTTTGCGCCTTCGCTAATTTTATAATAGAAGCTCAATTAACAAAATTATATTAAACGATAATTTGCGAAAAAAAAAAATGGTGGAAATATTACTCGATCTGTTACAAATTCCTCTATCTAAATCTGTTTATAAAAAAATATTTTTTTATAATTCTTTATTAAGGGCGTTCTCAAGCAACTCCTTCAATGTAATTGTCTAGTGGATGAGATGATGCTCATGCACCATGATCAATTTAAATAAGGATCGCAATCAATACTTGAGCCAGTGTTGGCAAATTGCAATGTCATTTGCCTATTTTTTAAATGACATTTGTCATTTCTCATAGTAAAATCAATGTCATTTGATGTCATTTAATGTCATTTCAATGTCATTTCAATATCATTAGACAACACTGACTTGAGCAGCTTCTCTTCATTCGAAAATTTATAATGAACAAAGCTAATAAAAGAATTATAGAGCTACTACTAAACATAGACAAATGAAGGAAAACCAATCAGCGTAGCTCTATGAAAAAAAAAGATGGTTTGGCCTGCATCGAAATGGTAACTCATTTGATCTGCAAAATCAATCTCCGACTAATTAAAATTTCATTTCCGATCCATACCCTAAATCTGATATTTACAGTAGCTGTATTTGTTGTGTAACATCAAAATTCAGAATCTTTAGGTCAATTTTCTGAATTTTTTTGACATTATAATACTTTCTACGCCTGGTGTATCGCAGATTTAGTTATGTATGGTCGTTAGACAATATTCCGATAGAACTTATTAATGTTAGTGATGAAATTGTTAGTCTTCTTAAAACAAAATATCCGATTCCTGAATTTAAAGAAATTGTTGCTGCTAATAGATAATTAAAAGGATGGTTCTTGTTAAACCAAATTGGATTGCCAAATACATTAATAAAATCCATTAAAAATGTTTTAAAATAAATTATAGTTTATGCTATAACGATAATATAAAGAATAAAAAATTTGAATTTTACAAGTTAAATATAGTAAAAAAAAAAAAAAATTGCTTACAATTCTAAATATTACATAGCTATTATTACAGCAAAAAAATTAGTTCAGCAACTCAGAAATCATAAATTATATAAAATATTATTGACTGACCTTATGTGGTTACTTACAGCTTATTAATTAATAAAATATACAAAAAGCTAATAAGCTGTTTCTTTAATGAGAATATATAAAGTGCGAAAAATTAAAAAGTAGAGATTTTTTTAAAATTAGATTTTACATTATGAATTATTCTAAACTAAACAATGAACAAAAATTTTTATTAAATAATAGTTAACTAATATGTTATTATTAAAAATTTATAAAATTATCTAATTTTTGACTATATAATACTTTTGTTATCCTCTGATAATTATGCAATATTACTAACTTATTTAAATTTTTGTCTCATATAAAGTGTTTGCTCACTTTTTCAAAAATATTTTTGTAAGTTATAAAAGTTAAATAATTCAGTAATTTTAAAAAGATCTTTTAAGATCTCTACAAATAAATTATTTACTATATATTAATTTTAATATATAAAAGTAATATAAAACAATTTTAATATAAAAAATATGTTATATTAACTTAAAATATTTAATTTTAATATGATAAATTTTTGATTTTAAAAACTTTTTTATTAATTAAAAAAAATAATATTAAATGAAAATTTTTTTTTACAAGAATTTTATATCTTATTAGAATAGAATATTAATATAAAATATTAAAATTTTTATAATAATCTCCTATAATATATAATTTTAAATTAATAAAATATATTATTTGCTTATTATTTAATAATTTTTCTTATTTTTACATGTTTTTTTAGTATCTTATTAATATTGTCTATTTAGCTTAATAGTATCATTCAATAAACATAAATTAATAAAAGTTATTATTTCTACTAAGTTGTATTTAAATTTAAAATATTTATTAAAACTTCTTACTATAAAATTTTTGTATTTACTTATAAAAAGATTTAAAAAAAAACTTATTTTTAAAGTGAAATTTTATGTAAATATAAAAAGTAATCATCTAAAAGTAAAATCACTGGTTATTATTACTTGAGTATATAATATCTATCAATTTCTTATTAATATAAATGGTAAATATAATATTTTGTGATAATTAACTATAGTATAAAGTAACTTAATTATAGATACATAAAATTTTTTAATATAAAAATGATCTGCATATAATATATCTAATATTATTATAACATTTTTTGCTTCTTTGTAATTTTATAAAATATCTATAGTTTATCTTTCTGCTAAAAAAAAAAGTTAGAATTTATGTCTTATTAAAAAAGGATTTCTTTCTCATTATATAGTGAACAAGAAAATATTTCTAATCAACTATTATAAGAATTAAGCAATATAAAATTAAACTGGTAACAATAAAGATCAACCTAAATCTGAACATTTATAATTTTTAACTGGTTAATATAAATAAAAAAGTTTTGAGATTAATTATAACAGATAAATATAATAATGCTATGCAATTCAAAAAATAATTAAAAATAAAAAAATAAATTAAAATTATTGAATGTATAATAAAGAGAATCTAAGAATTAAGTATAAAATATTATAAATTTAAAAAATACATAGAATCACAAAGATAAAATTTGCAAAAAAATATAAATAATAAATAATTAAAGATTGAAGTAAAGTGATTTGATCAGATAGGTTAAAATTTATAATTTATAGATCAGATTATAAAGAATATTATTAGAAAAATCAGAAAAACTATTAAAAAACTATTATATCAAATCATATAGTTAAATTTAAATAAAGTAATATTATAGTGTAAAATGTTTTATATCTGATAAGATTAATAACATATGTTAAATTTAAAAATGTATGAATGATAATTTATATTATCAAATTTTAAAGAAAGATCTATTAGAAACTATCACATAATATAAAATAGATAAAGATAATATTATCTTTTAATTGAATAATGATTTTAAATATATTATATATCTTATAAAATAATAGTTTAAAATAATAGGGTTAAAGTTTTTGATTGATCAGCATAATCTCTGACTTACATCTTATAAAATATCTTTAGAATAAAATGAATCATTATCTAGATAGCTTAAAATACTTGTTAGAATATAAGATCAGTTATAGGATATAATTTAAAAAATTAGAGTTAAATTAGGATCTAATATATGTAAAAGTTAGTTGATACTATATTTACTCATATAAATGATATAATTAAAACTAATAGTAGCTATACAAAATAGTAAATAATTATTTACTAAAGTTTTAATATAATTGGATTGATTTTATTTTTTTTTATATATATAAATAATTAATAAAAAAATGATTAAAAGAAAAAGATTTTCTAATTTATTAAAAGTAAATATTTTTTATATTTACTTTATTATTTTATAATGATTTTCATACTATTTAATTATGATAAATCTAATAAATAATTTATATAATACTATGCTTATTTAATCACAAAATAATGGTATTTTAAAATTTTTATTCAGGTAATACAATACTTTTAATTATCATTATATGTAAGATACATTTTCGTAAAATTGTAAAAATTGTTAATTAGTAATGTATGATATTTAAAACTTTCAAAAGAAAGAGAGTTAAGTCAGATTGAAATATCTATATATTTTAACCATTATATTTAAGCAGATATTAGTTTTTTTAGTTTTATTTTTTGAATTTAATTATATTATGAATATACTTAACAATATATAAATGTAAAATGTATATATATTAAATTAGTAATAAATTTTTATACAAATTAAAATTTGTATATATAAATAGAATAAAAATACTAAATAAAAATTGATATATAGAAATAAAATCTTTATATTATAAATTAATATC